CATATATAATATGTCATTGAGGTTGAGCGCTCAAGTACATCACGTGACCACGGGACATGCGCGCATGTGGTCGCGGAGCATGTCCGTAGTCGCTACATCGCGTCGGTATGACAGGTCTCATAACCTGATAGTCGTCAACTTTAACAGTTAATATCTCGCTTCGCGGGGCAGAGCGGGGCTTTTTTCTGCCAGATTCGTTCGTTTTGTGCAAAAACGCGTTGATTAAGCCTAAATTCAGCGAAATCGGTGAGGAGGGAGCTCTCCTTCAGATTTACCCATATTATATTACATTACATTATATCGTATTATATTATATTATTATTACATCACATTATATATTTTACGCGTAAACGCCCAACCTTGTGCAACAATCTTGAATATTTCTGTATTATCAACCGTCGCCGCGTTTTAATTTTCCCTCGACTCTTTTATAGTTCCGGTCGATCAAACAGCATGCGCATGGTCGTCGGAACGAATTGGGGGGGGGGGGGGGGGGGGGGGCGGGGGTCGGGGGGAGGGCGGGACGCGATTCACGCGATGAGCGATCAGCCGGCGCCGCCGCGCGCGCGTTATTATTCCTCAATCCTCGCCCCTACGCGAAAACGTAATTGTACCGTCGCGGTGCCGCGCATTCATTGGCGTGCGTGCTGCGTGCGTGCGGTGGTGTGACGATTGCGGGGCGACAATGGGCGGCGAGCCGACGAGCCGGGATCGTCCGATGCGCGTGCATACGTAATACACGCGCAAATCCGTCGCGTCGTGCCTTGGTTGGGGGATCGGGTTCAATTGGGTTGGGATTGTGTCGTGAGGTGACGACTGATCACTGACGGTCGGTCGCGCGCGCGGGACCTGCGTCGTTCAGCGTCGTCTCGAAGCGGAAATCGGCGGTGTGGGGAGGCACCGGAGTCAACCGGAGTCGTCGTCTCTTCGCCGCGAATACGAGCAGCGTGTTGGGGCCGCGGAGTCGTGGTGCGCGATGAGTCGACGTGACGGACGATTTTGCGCGCGGTACAAATAAGGACATTTTTTTCGCATCCTCGCGAAAAGAAAGAAAAACACACACGCGGAGATCTGTCGCGCGTTATTGGCGCGTCCGCCGTTCCGAGGCCCCGGCGCCTCTCCCGTCCGGCGAGTCCGCGTAAATGCGCGGTTAACGACTCCGACTCCCCGAGTGCGAACGAGTGTGAGATTTAAGGTGATTTAAAAGACCTCCCGAGATTTTCCAAGATGTATCGTAAGCTGAAGTTCGAGGTGGAGTACCTGACGGAGGAGCACCTCACGGGGTTCGAGAGCTACAAGGTATTTACGCTCAGCCGATCCGATTTTGGCTGGTACCCTTTTCACACGTAGGAAATATCGATTTGAAGACATTATAAATATATCAATGTATCACGTGTGACAACGTGAGTGAAATTCTACGGTATATAGTAAATTACAACGTGCATATATAATTCACGATGGAAATATTTTGTATTGGATTTTTTTCTAGTATAAAAATAACAAAATTTTATTCAAATAATGAAGCTGACAATACACTCGGTGTTGTGCCACTTACCTCGAATATTCTGATTTCAGTATAGCTCCTTGGACACGAGTCCCCTGAGCGTGTACGTCATGCATCCTTTTTGGAACAAGTTGGTACAGGTACGATCTTCGTTTCAGAGCGGTGGAACAATTGATAAATATTATCTTTATCCGCTATGTATTATGTAGAATTGAAACATTTTCTTCGCACAGTATTTTAATTATGAATATAATTATTTGTCTTGTTTTAGTATTGCCCGAAGTGGGTTGCCCCGAACGTACTAACTTTCTCAGGATTCCTTTTTACCGTGCTAAACTTCGTGCTATTTGCGATTTACGACTACTACTTCTATGCGTCCAGCGACGACAAGCCGGATTACCCTCCGATATCACGATGGGTCTTTGCCGTGGCTGCTTTTAACATTTTTATGGCATATACGCTTGGTACGTGTACTTGGTGCTTGATATAGTAATTTTTATTAACATATAGGAGTTGGTAAATATATACAAAAGTCTTTCATGTTTGAAGCAGACATACAGACTCGAATAAAATTAAACAATCTAGAAATTTGTATTAAGCAATGGATTAGAAAGCGATAGACGTAATTTTATTGAGAGATATATATGCATAAATCTCTTGAGATATAAACCCTTTTATTACAGATATTTTACAAAAATGTTTACACAATAAATAAATTCTTGACTTACAACTGATTAGAAAGTAAGATCTTCACTTTGACAAAGTAAACTTGATTTTATTTGTATTGCAGACGGGATAGATGGAAAGCAGGCGAGACGCACACAAACGTCCGGCCCCTTGGGGGAGCTGTTTGATCATGGTTTAGACAGTTGGAGTGCCATGTTGATCACGGTGGGCATGTACTCGGTCTTCGGCAGAACGGATCACAGCGTCTCGCCGTTGCGAATGTACTTCATACTATGGAACGTATTCATTAATTTCTATCTGAGTCATTGGGAAAAATATAACACGGGCGTGCTGTTTCTTCCCTGGGGATACGATGCTTCCATGCTAGTAAGTTTGCTTGGATAATGCGATTTTTAACGTGGAAGAAAAATATTTCTTTACGTTATTAATTAACTTTCATTATTGTGTCTATTTATATCAGTCTTTCGTTAATTTTTTTTTTTACAGGCAACTGTCATTGTATTTACACTTACCAGCATAGGTGGACATGAAGCCTGGAAATTTGAATTACCTGGTGGTATATCAGCTGGAATTATGTTCGAAATGTTGTTCTACGTTAGTGCGCTTGTGTCCAATTTACCGGTTGTTCTTTGGAACATATACAAGTGAGTACCACTTTATCGTTATAGCAAGTTATACAATTTCTGTAATTTATCGATGACAAAAATATTTCGCGGATAAAATCGGAGCACTTCCGAGATTTCTGTTAAGAATAATTTTAATACATATTGATTAAATGATCTTTATATTAAATTATCTGCTTCTCTTTTACACTTCTTTTTATAAAAAGCCCATTTATACTTTAGGACAAAATTTAATCAAAAAATTTTTCGCATTAACATAATTATTTTGCATTGTCTTGCAGATCTTATAGGGATAAGACCGGCAAAATGCGGACGTTTCCAGAGGCTATTAGGCCCTTGGTGCCTTTAGTTTTATTCTTCATAATTTCCACGGTCTGGATAATGCACTCTCCGAACAATGTTCTAGAAAAGGATCCGAGAATAATATACTTTGCCATCGGCACTATTTTTTCTAATATATGCGTAAGAAACATTTATTTAACCTGGTAATTCTGTCTTAATTTTATTATTCATCGCATTATTCATTTTAATAATGTTCATGTTGCAGTGTCGATTAATCGTATCCCAAATGAGTAATACGAGATGCGAGGTATTACCATGGATACTATTGCCAATCGCAGTAGCCGCTGTTTTCTCGTTTATCTTACCAAGCGTAGATTTGGAATTTATGTATTTAGTCTCCATAGTGGCCTTGCTGGCGCACATTCATTACGGCACTTGTGTGGTAAGTTTAACGAAATATCACGGTCATGATCGCAATGATGTGATATTAATATATCTCCAATTATACGTATTGAGAAAGATGTCTACAATTAATTGTAATTATCAAATTTTTATAATTTACAAGGCAATTTCTCATGCCAGCGTCATCTGTTTTATAATTACAGGTACGTCAAATGTGCCGGCACTTCCGTATTCAGACGTTCTCCATAAAAAATCATTCCGAATGACTACTTGCCGACGATGCATGTTAAGAACGAAGAGACAAGTATATAAAAAAAAGATCGATAAAAACTGAACACGGAAAAGCAGGCAGGGAGAAGAGATCTGACACACACACACACGGACTTTTATTAGAATTGATCACGAGAAATTAACTACCATGACAAAACACTTATCGAGTAAATAAAGAATTCTTAGAATCACGTCCTTTTACGAGAACACCGCCGTTCGACGCGAAATACGATAGTAATGCTGCTCGCAGAGATTTGATAGCGCTACTTTATCCCACATATCTTGAAAAAAAAAATAGTGTCTGCTGGATCGCCTATTTATTTCTCACATGCAATAACAAAATTGCCCGAAATGTGTTTGACTATCTTACTGTGATATACTTATCCGCGTCACCGCTTTTATCTCCAAGAGCAGCGGGTTCATCCATAAAACGTCCTCTCCGTCGTGGTATTCCGCTGAGATTATGTATAACATGTGTGTACAAATACTTTTTCTTTGAATGCTGCCGAGCTCGTTGAGCAGTGAACCAAAAATATGCACCTCTTCGTTTTCGACATGTATCGTCCCTCGGACGTTATTAATCAATGTACTAATAACAATTGTATCTATTTATCTATCTTTGTTTCCTTTTCTCTTTCTTTTTAGTGTTTGGAAAAACTGTACAAATTATTGGCAATTATATGTATATTTTTTTTGATTGTAGAACGTATGTGTCGTAGTACTTGAAATTGCATTTAGCGCATAATGTGTACGTCAGGTAAGAAAGGATCGAGTGTACGTTATTGTTTATGTATCGAGTGTACGTTTGCTTTAAGATATGTGTACGAACAATTGTATGATTTCCGTAACTCTTGCAATGTAAAATTCTGGCTACAAATGGAATGTTGCGGCAACATTGAGTAAGCTAGTTTCTCTTTCCTCTGTTACTTTTAACAATCTCGTCTCTGTAGATACATCTCTGTACATCAAAGTGATATGTTTTCCAAGCATGTATAAAATATACTGCGTTAAGCTATGCTTATCAAGACGAAAGAAACTTAGATGGTAAAGGCGAAGATGTTAGAGAAAGAAAGCGTTTCTTTCCTATGTGGGTTTAATATTTAATTTCAAGCTTATATATGTAAACTTTGTTGGACTATATATACATACGTAATATATATTACAGTGTAATATTGCGAGACGACCGCGAAAGATATCACGGAATAAAAGATATTTTTACAAAGCAAGGCGTCTGCACATCTGTCGCTATCTAGAATTTAGGTATTCGGCTTTTATCTTGACGCGCTCCTCCAAAGGTGGCATATAGGGCTTGATGCCTTTCGACCTCCTTTCAGTCTGCACGGAAGCCTGCAATGAAGGGAAACAACCACCATTGGGAGGTATAATCTTACAGATACAGATTTGTAGTCGCGATTGGGAGAGAACTTTACCCAGAAATTTTTACAGTTCTTGTAATTGAGGAAGTATGGCTCGCATGCGTTGCGGTCTTTCTGATTGGAGTCAAGGCACCTCAGGGACTGGAGGTGCTCCTAGAAGTAAAAACATGTTGACAGACAGAATAGCGTCGCACTGGCTTCTTCCGATTTCTTTTAGCTACATCTTTCCTTAGATTAGAAATATACATTTGTGTTGCTAGCGAAAAGGAGTTGCGATCAAAAAGGCGATAATCGCCAATCGTCCGGGTACCTTGTAACAGGGATTATCCGTCTCTTGATTATGTCGCAATGCACGCCTACTCGTGTCACCTGTTCGTCCTGTAATATCATTTGAATCCTTCCGTGTATCCATTTCGGCGACGAGAGGGCCAATGTTTATATACACACCTGGTCCTTCCTCAAGTAGTCATGCCATTCGAACGAGAAGTAGCTGCACCTTCGTGAAATCTATTCGTTCTACTTGCACTTTCCGCACTCGAATCTCTCGCGCTCTTTGGCCCGTGTTCTTTTTAGAGCTAAACTTCTTTTGCAAACTTCTTTATCTTTTCTCTTTTTCTTTCCAACGTGAACAGAAGAAGAGGAAAGATAAACCGTACGCGAGAAGTTCAGCTAAAAAGAATCTGAATTTTTTTTAATTCAGTACTCGAGTGCGGGAAGTACGACGATCGAGTGCAAGCAAAACAGACTGACGTCAGCTCGCTTTTTGCATATTAACACCACGCTGCACTATCCGCACTCGAAATGAAACGGATGCAACGAGCTAGACGTGGGCAGGAAAAAGAAAGAGAACGAAAGTTTGACTCAGTTTGACTGGAAGGTGCAGATCCGAGAAGAATCTGTGAGAATTTTATTTTCGACAAGAATACACAAGACAAACGCGAAACTCGGTTGAAAATATAAACTCTTCAATCGTGACGTTTTCTGACGCGACAGCGACAACGTCGCGTCGCTCGAGACCGGCCGCACGTGGTCGCGCTGCGTGTCGATTTTGAGGTTAGGCGAACGGAGGTTAGGTTAGACGCGGCGAAACTTCATCGAGGAAGTCTGAGAGAACACTTACGTCGCGCGAATGAAATAAAGAAAGATTCGGAAGAAGAGAGACTTTTCTTTCTTCTCAGGATGGAGGTCGACGTGGGCGACGTGGTGATGCCGGGCGACAGTTTGAACAACATCACGCCGCTCAAAAAGGAAGGGAGAAGCGAGAAGGAGTTCGTGATCCTGGGCCCCGGACTGCGCCGCGAGGGCGACTCCGTGCTCGTCTGCAAAGCGGGCGTCCTGAGGAAACGCGACCCGGCCGTCTACTACGTGGACAGCTACCAGAAACGGTACAAAACGTTTGTACTCTGAATCATAATAACACACGTGCTGATATCATCCCCTCTTCTCGTCGAGAGAGAGATGGGTGTACTGATAAGACGCCGCGGTTTTCCTGCAACGATATTGAATCAGGATGTTAAAAGGAAGAAGAGAAGCATCTCCTTACGTGCACCACGCTTGGCATTCATTAATGTAGATTTATAAGGAATATGCGCTCTCTTTATCATTCCGCATTGAATACTCATGTAATTTATTTTGCTTCCAGCAAAAATGAGGAAACTTCGACCAAACTTTGATTAATTTAATTTACCCTTTTGAGACGCTGCTCACAGTTGATCTTATCTTGAAATATTGTTTTATGAGAGAATAATTGACCAACTATACAAGCTAAATACCAGATATTATATTACTGCGAAGTTTTATTCATAAATAAAATGGATATAAAAAATGGAAACATTTCAACTTTACTAAGTCTTCCTCTACTAAATTGAAGTTTACAAGAATGAGTTTAACAACTAATCATGAAAAATCATTTACTTTATATCCATTCTATTTACGAATAGAACTTTGCATTAATATAACATCTTGTATTTAGCTTGTATTATTGGCCCATTATTCTCTCATATTGCTTTGCATAAAACGAGCATAATATTTTAATAATATTATTTTACCTCACGCGCAGATACATTCCTAATCGAGGCGAGAACGTGGTCGGTATAGTGACGCAGAAGAGCGGTGACATTTTCAAGGTGGACATCGGAGCCAGCGAACAGGCAACGCTATCCTACTTGGCCTTCGAAGGCGCCACGAAGAAGAACCGGCCCGACGTGCAGATCGGCGATGTGGTGTACGCCAAGCTACTGGTCGCCAGCAAGGACATGGAGCCGGAATTGGTGTGCGTGGACTCCCAGGGCAAGGAGAACGAGCTCGGCGTGCTAAGCTCGGACGGCATGATGTTCACCTGCTCGCTGAGCCTCGTGAGGAAATTGCTGAATCCGGAGTGCCCGTTGTTCCGGCTGCTCGGTCGGAATCAGGCGTACGAAATCGCCGCCGGGATGAACGGCAGGATATGGATCAAGGCGCAGTCAGTTAAAGAAACGATAGCCGTGGCGAACGCTATTCTGGCGTCGGAGTACACGGTACCCAGTGAAATGCAAAAACTCTGTGCCAGAATCGAGAAAGTCTTGCTACTCGTGGCGTAAGTCAGTGAACAATGTTTCACTGAACATCAAAGAGAACCGACTTGGATCTTTGATGCGAGAGGTTGGCATCGAAGGTTCGATGTTTCTTCCAAGCAAAGTTGAGGGGAAATTGGAATACCTCAGATCAAATGCATTTTGAAGTCAGTCCCACCTTGGCATGCAAAATAAAGACTACTTACTGTTGTCAATGACAGTTACATTTATTGTATCAATATTTGTAATAAATTCTGTAAATAAATCTGGAAGTTTCCTTAACTGATAATTTATATATAGAACTATTACAGACTGAGACAACCATCCTGATGACCGTGGACTAACACTATCGGTTACAATCACTAGAAAATGTTATCATACGGATGTACGGCGGAAGCGACGAGTACATGATTGTACGAGGCATTAGCACGAAGCAATGTAATCGCTACTCTAGCGGTTAGAAGTGAAAAAAAAAACTCGTTTCGTAGGAAATTCAATGTTTAATTTCGCTTTAACAAAAGAAACTTGACATTCGGATATTACATACATCGTATTACATTAATGATCGCAAACGGTATCGATATAAAGATACAGAGCGTTGCTAATTATGATAATCTTCATTACATCTCGCTGATATGTGCCTAGTGTTAATGCTCTCCTCGGCTCGCACGAGCCGTGCGCGACTATACGGATGTTATCTGTCGGTAACAGCCTAGACATTGACGGTATTTGCACTCAAGCACAACCATTACTTTCATCTTACAAAAAAAGCAATATCTAATTCAGTAAATATACCGTTAGTTTCCCGCATAAATTTCCATTTAATCAAAGATTGCACGGGTGTCTTTGTACTTGGTGGAATGTATTCATTGCCATCCGCCTTCTAATTAAAGATTAAAGCGTATACGCAAGAAAAACAATCTCAAAAACGTCGCTCTTATTGTTAATAAAGTGAAAGTAACAAAATTATTATCTTCTTTTTTTTTTATCTCTGAGACGCGTTTTATAAAACTATTGAAAGACATATCGAATAGCATGATTTTCTAATTCTTGACGTTGCATAGAAAACATTTTTGCACCAATAAACAACAAATAACAACTTATCGCACGTGTACTGTTGTTGAGATTATTTTGACAGTAAGATAATACGCAATATAGATTGAATTCGAAAAGAACAAAACAATAAGTATACGTAAACGCAACAGAGTATATACGCAAAAAAAACAATAAAATATCTAGCAAACAAAAACAACAGCATTAATAACAGAGGTATACTTGTTAAAGCTAAACTATTCTTTTTGGTCATTTATGGCCCCTACTCTTCATCTCACAGCGCCGTACTAAAATAAAATTCTACAAGACATCATCTAAATGCTATAAAAGAATACACTGGGACATATTCAGGATCGGACTTTTTTTCACCATCTAACATCACAAATCTAAAAAAAAAAGTATTAAATCTAAGATTTTCAAAAAAATGTAAAACAGAAAATCAAGTGATTATAACTTAAAATTTAACTGTCTGACTAGTTAAAGTTCTAATTAATTATAAATGGTTAAATATACAATTTTGAAATTATAATTCGTTACAAAAAGTAATTGCATTTTGAAAAGATTTATATTTACAATTATCAATTCTTAGAATTAATCAGAACTAATTACTATTATTACAGATAATTATAACTACGATTCTTCCCTACGTCTCGGAATGTGACCTAGAATCCGATCCCGAATTTGTTTGAATACTAATCATAATAAATTATTGATAATCGAGTCGAATTATGCATTCGCGACATATAAATAATTTGCGATAATATCTACTGTAATACGTTTCTTTCTTTGCTGCTGTCGCCACAATATTTAAAGGGGTTTAAACGAACGGTACCGCGCCAGCGATATGCGGCAAGTGTAATTTCATGAGGGGAAACAAAGAAAGTGCTAGTTACACAGTAAGGGAGGGAAAACACCCGGTATCCGACATTAATTATTATCTACTATGAAACCATCGATACATTCTGTCATATCATGGAAGAAGCCGTAGCGTATTTTTGTTTCCTCTTTTTTTTTCTCATATAGAAACCACACACGTATGTTCATCGCACATCGGGATGTAATTAGGCAGGCAAATATGTATGTTGGGGACGATACATGGTGGCACTAGCAACCATTAAACATACTATTCTATTGGCATTGTGCTTCGCTTAATATATACGTTTCATCGAAGAGTGCGCTAATCATCGAGGTATATCGGGGATAATTATGCAAGGTATATCAATAGGAGAACGATTAATTGCACGCACATCTAACGCGGCGGTGCTGTTACATAAGCTGTTGTATAAATAATAGTGCGCAGGCGAACGGATAAAAATGAATCTCGGAGAAGCGAGGAGACCTATTCGCGGAAGAGAGTGAGAGCGTTGATGCAGCAGAGTTAATTAAACAGACGAAGATTTAAGATAAGGCATCGATGAAAGAAATTACATTGCAGAAAAAAATTATCTGGAAAAAAATCCCAAATTATTTCTTTCCAGTGCTAGAAAAATTTTTAGAACTTTTTAGGCAGAAAAAAGAAGACTCGGTTTTCAGTCTTACATGATACTAAAAAATGTATTAAATTTAATAAGTTTAACGATATGCACACAGAATCTCAAAGATACTACAAAAGAATTGACAATAACATAAAAGTCTGAAAGTTGTTCGTAAGAAATCACTATCAGGATTGTTTTCTCTCGATTGCCTCACCTTAAAATTTACAAATGTATTGAAAATTGCGTTTACAAAGATTACTACGATAGCACATAGATTATTACTGTGTCTTATGATATGAATATAAAATATCTGCCATTATTACTGTAGGTATACACTTATACTCGCGATCACATAATCTCATTACATCATCAAATATTTCCCTCCACATTACGATTCCTAATTCACTTTTGCCCGCGTCCATCTATTATCGGCGATTTTCTTATACGATTCTAACTGTAGAAAGGAATAGAAAATATATATATTGCTATGTAAATATATATAAAGCGCGGTTGGTGTATGTCAATTCATCATTCTTAAGAGAATGCCATTTCTCGCTTAAAATAGTGATAGGATTGCAGCGGACGCGTTTTCTACATAAGAAAAATAATCTCCATCGCACGGACATACGTTTCGTATGCGTGTAGATATGCTATTCCCTCCACACAGTACAATGGCAGAAATTCCATGACGCACGCGATGCTTCTTGAAAGTTATCGCAATCTTAATAGCTTAGTAGTCGTTATAAGAATAATTTTTGTTGGATTACACTACTGCACCGTTTCGTCTCTATGAGATGAAACGGCTTTCTTTAGTAATTTTTGCTGTAGGCATTAGGTATGTTTAATATTACATTTTGGTAAAAAGCAAAGAGTTATGTCTAAAATTTCTAATTGAAAATGAAGAGTCGTATTAGTTGAAGAATCAAATAACTCCACGCGCGCCTTGAAAATCGCAAAAGAATTGAATTAATAATACTCAATTATACAGGGTGTACTGTATCACCTTGGAAATCTTGGAGGCATCTTCACTTAGACAAGACCTGTGTCTAACAATAAAATAAAATGTCCCCTTCGAACACGGAGTAAGTTTTATTTGAATTTTTTCGAAAAACGAATTAGTTCGGGAGATAAATGCGTGGAAAGATTAAAATAGAACATCCTGTATAATTACAGAGAATGATAATTCTCTAATTATATTCATAAATCATAATTATTATGTTATATATAAATTATTAAAACTCAAATTGATATAATCGTATTAAAAATCGATACTATCATAATTTTTGGTTTAACGCTATACTGTTCTTAGCGATTCGTATTTCTGATGTCCCGGGCAAAAATACGACTCTTCTGTGGTAAATTAGGGAGGGATGCATCACTACATAAGTAACTTTCGTGAGCGATATTCTTCGATTAGCAAAGCAAGACGTAGTAATCGCGTTATAATGTAGAGTCATCGCCTTGTCTCGACGTATATATTAGATAAATATTATCATCAGGTTTCAGCATAATCGTAATGTATATAAAAAATTGTCTTTACTTATGCCTAAAATAGCATGATGTCTCGGTTATATAAATATATTATATATGTATATATATTTATGTGTATACATATACACGTATTTTCATGTCATTATAATTATTATTGTATTATTTTCTTATATGTATATATATATCTATTATACCATTCACAACACAGAGTGCATAGTACGAAGCTAAATGTCGATCCGCTTACTCTTAAATCACCATTCGTTTATACACATACTCATATATATGCGTATTCAAGAATGGAGTTGAAAGGAGAAGCGAATCCAAAGCCTCAATGTAACAACGCACAACCAATTTTTATACAACCTGCGTGCATTAAAGTATCTTGTCACCTTACAGATGACTTGAAACTTATATGTGTGCCATTATGCTCTGAGTGGATTTAATAATTTTAATTGAACCCATTACGTTTCTCACTGACAGAAAGAAGAGGAACGCTCAAATTATTATAGTATAATAATTTTACAAATTATATACAAATTATGTTCAACAAATATCTCAGGAAAAACTAAGTATTGCGTTTTCTCTCTGGTAAACGATCGAATGCAGTTAATTAAAGCAACGGGAGAAAAAGTATAACGGATGTACAGGAACAACGTATTCATCAAAATCGACTGCTACTCTACATCAAGCATTCTTTTTCATTAGCAGAAATCAAACGTCCATCCGTTAACTGCCGCTGTCGAACGTTAATATTGAAGTCCTGTGCACGCGCACGAAACACGGTGCCGAGAGAGACACCGTGTTGCAGAATGTCCAGTTGCTCAATCATAGCAGAGATTCATTCCACGTCTAGTACGATAGCGTTATTCAAAATATGTAATGTGTTTCTATCTTCATCTTATTTTTTAATGTATAATTAAGTGCTAGGATTATTGAAATCTTATTATTGCACGCGATGCAAAGAGAATGCACGTTACTCCACGCGCGTTGTAGGCTTGCTGTGTACCGGGCGATCCACTTCCCTACCGCCTCATTTTCCGACAATGCTAATGAATGATACACAAGCGGGGCTTCCTTCTCAACTAGGAAACGACATCGATCGAAATAACGTCGGGAAAAAATGGTGCCGCCGAAGTGGAACGCCATGTATCTTCTCGCACGGTTTTATTACACCTATTGATACTTGTGCTTTAGCGGAGTTTATCCGCCCGTTTCTCTTTTCTCCCCTTTCGTTAGTCGCTGTTTGGGAAAATTTGATATTTACGAAACAACGTGTGAATCGGTGAGTCGTTAGACATGGTTGTGATAGTTATCAAGGTGGTGCAGAAGTGTGCCAAAGCAATATTGCGCATCCCTCGAACAATCGCATGCAGATTGAAAAATATTACGGGCAAAATCTAACGTACGTAAAAAGAATATAGTTCAAGGTATGTTAGCTCAAAAGACACTGTTAGAATTAAAATAATATTCTTCTCTATCCTATCGTAATTCTTTCGAATTCGCGGGATTTTTCCACGAAGAGCACACATAACGAGCGGTAGCATACGTTACAAAGACGCAAAAGGGGTATCTACACGTAAATTTATAACAAAACGGAAAAAAGAGACTTTTTCTCAGGGAGATTCCTAGGAAGGATCCTTCAACGACTTGTGCAAACCTTAATACGGCAGTAAGTTTGTCATACTGTATAAACGTACGATCCGATTGCTTAAACGATAAATGAGCATGTTAAAAAAATCGTAATACTCGCATACCATTCGCGCACATTGCGTTACATTTCCAAAAAGGTAAACAAGTGCGAAATACATCTCTTTTTTTTTTTTCATTTGAGTATCGTTCGATCATCGCGTGATTCTCACACTTCGAGTTCTTTTAAATTATTACTCTTAGAGTTACAGTCTTACTACAAATCTTTTGGCTCACAGGAGTTCCACTTCCTTTTAAGCTCGATCACTGAGCAATCATTGAGTGTGTTCTCGTCGAGAAACTACACGCGAGAGCGAGAGACAGAGAACGTCCTGCAGTAAACATCTCTAAAAAAAATCCTATCACCTCCTCTCGCAAAGAAATCTGACATGGAATCTTACAATCTGATTTTGAACACTTCATTGTTGCGTTGTAACATCAGAGATCGAACGCGAACCTTCATTTTTTTTTTTTTCAATTCCCTCCGTTTCGACAGTCTCATTTGTTGCTATCAGTTTGAAATTATGTGATTTATTTAATATCATTATATTTTAATAGGGAGATATAGCTCCCGGCTTCTCAAAACTGAGCTTTACTCTACCTAAATTACACTTCTCTACATTACTGCACATATAAAAATCTACTTACGCCTCATCCTTGAAATTGTTTGTAAATCTTCCAAGAATAACAGCAATTTTCTACAAATGTCCCATTGGAATTCTTAAAATCGTGTTAAAGACACGTGGGTTTCACGAAAACCCTTTTAGAATAAAAGCCGGTTGTTCTCTCGCTCGATCTCTGATTGCAAGAAAAAAGTCGAGAAAACTGTCGGGTCACTCCAAGCTACCGATGGACCGCCGAAGTGTCCCGAAAATTCCCCGAAGCGTATTCTCCTTTTGCCATGATTGCTAAATAGTCTTGCGTTTCTTTAGTCTACTATCAATTTCGTCGAACGTTGTCTTTCATTCTTTTTTTCTTTCTTTCTTTTTTTTTTTTAGACAAACTCGAGGCCTTTCCGATAAATTCGGTTACTTACGTTCGAGATGTCGTGTAAAACTGCGTCCAATTTACTCACTTCGGAGCGGAGCAGATCTAAGATGAACAAAAAACGCTAAAGCCGTCTAGGTTGCACGACGCTGTTGTTGTTGAGGCGCGTAGTCGTCTGATTGTTGAAGTTCTCGTCCTGTGGTACGTGCTCGGTGCGCTCGTCGAAAAATCCCGGATTCAAAATGATGTTGGGTACGAGCTCAATCACCTCCTGCTCCTCCAGCTGCGCTGCAATTTCGGAACGGAGATTAATTTTCATTAGTCTGGGCCACGGGTCTCATTAGCTTCTACCCTCTCCCTTCACCGGTTTTTCTTTGTCAGGTATTGTAAAACATTTTACGCCGCGGAATTTCGTGTCGACCACTGTTTTCCCAAATTATTTCTGGTTATCGACAATTCTATTAATGCGTAATAATAGAGTACCAGATTCCGATGCCAAATCGAAATGCCGTTTGCCTGACAAATGAACCTGCTACCTTTGACCTACCTACCTCGACATACTGCCAAAGATCTCATCGGTATTACTTAACTAAGATCATAATGCTTTCTATGACTATTTAAGATTTACTATTCATTCATCATCACTAAGTTATTATCGGCAGGCTGATTAACATTATGTACAGCATAAGTAATATCTAATCGGTATAATAAGAGAAAATATTCGTATTGAAAAGTTTCAGTAACCAGACAAGTAAATCTGGCGACAGGAAAATTATATTGAGAAATTTGAGATTTTCATTCCAATAAGTGCCATATATCGTAAAAGATAAAAATACTGATGGTTTACTTATGTGCTTATTGTTAGTGTTCAGTGCGGCAATCTGAAAAGTGTTGTATTAATATACTTGATGAGATGAGATCTCCGTTAAATGCTGTCTCGTATTTGTCGGTAAATATGTTAAATCTAATGAGAAGTTTTGCAAAAGGTGCTCAGAGTACACAGAAACGAGATATCATAAAAGTATTAGTAATTTCGAAAAATATGGCTGTCGCATAATACAGAGAAGCCAAAGATCAGAAATATAGATAAGTCAACTAGCCGGCTAAGATACTAACAGGTCCTGTTGTTTGTCAAATGATGTGATGTATGTTCTTCAGCTAACTTACACGAAGTCTTCTATGGAGAGAGAAAAACGACTTTCTCGAGCATCGTGCTTATTAGAGAGGCCATGAATGTTAATGATCATCGCCAGCGAAAAGAAGTAGTAGTAGTAGTAAGTAGCAGCAGTAAAGAGACAGAGTAGAAGCGGAAGCTCTTACGTTACGGTTATCAGATAGGATGCTTACAGGGTGCCTTGCACTCGCGATACAGTAGGTAACATGTACCTAAACCAAGAATCATAAGTGTGCCCATCACAATACCTACGGCTGCCACCCAGACGCGCGGATCGAAATTCTCTACGCCGGCTAAGAGGTGTCTTTCGAGCTCTGAAAATTAGTTATGTTGCATAATAAAGATGCGTTAGTCTTAGCTTAGATACTGTACAAGGAAACGCTTAATCGAAACATATATCTCTTACGATTTCTGTGGAACGTGTTATACATGTAGGATGTGCCAAAACTATCGCCGTTCATTAAAATTGCATACTTATAAAAGGATTTAATTTAAACGTACCTCGATATTCAAATAAGCAACTTTCAAAGTTTGATATAAAAAAAGCCTTTTAATTTTATTCTTAATTTACAATAGCGGCGACAGTTTTAGCTACAGCTCTATACACGGTTTCGAATTTTATTTTATCCCAGTGATAAATCTCTATATATAAGAATCGCGAAGTAATTCTATAATAATAATTGCAACAAAATACCAAATTCTTCTATAGTGTACTGCGTATGACCCTCGACTTCCACGACTTCTCCTTTTCCCAGCTGATTGGTTGCCCACACTCGAAACGAGTACGTAGTGTTTGGCATCAAATGATACACATCTATTTGTCTCTTTAAAGCAACGAAACACAATCGTTAGTCTTAATTCAATTAATCTCTCTTTATACAAGGGATGGAATAACTCTGTAACGTTATATTAAAAATATTTGTTCTTACATAATCTAGCGAACAATTGAAATTGAAGCAGATACAACATTATAAAATAACGTTACGCTGTTGCAATAATTGCAGTATTATGTAACGTTATCGAGTTATCCCGTCTTGTTGTTTAACATCCCCGTTTTCTGTTATAATCTCGAGATCGGGGTACTTACAGAATTTGGAGGAATGTGTATTGGACTAATGGGCTTCCATTCTTCCGGTTCTTCGCCCGCCACTGGTTTCAGACGATATTCGGCAGTGAAGTCTATGATAGGATATCCGCCGTTATATCCCACCTCCCAAAGAATGTTGGCCAATATCGTAGATGGCTTGACCCATACATTTTGCAGGGCTGAAGGAGGTGCTAAAGAAACAAACAAAAAAAAGATACGTTAAAATAAAATCTACGGCTATTATAATCTATTATAAGATTCTTGAATCTAAAATCTAATTTATTATAATTTTCCAACGAATCTAAAACTCGTGTAACTCATTGGCTATTTTACGCGAGTTTTAGATTAATTGGAAAATTTTAATAAATCAGATATGTATCTCAATTGTATTTAAAACCTAAAACGCTGCTACATATGCACGCGCGATTGCGAATTGTCTTGTTAAGACGGCCGAGTAACAACGTACTTCTGACCGTCACGTTGATCATAGTTTTCACAGTGTCGAGATCGTCGTCGAAGGTGCACGAGTAATTGCCAGCGTCGTCCACGCTGACGTTTAACAGTTTCAGCATGCCGTTTGGTTCGACTTTCAGCCGCTCAATCTGCCCATCCTCCCGTCCCTCCCTTATCCACATCACATTGGACGCCTTGGAATGCGGGAGGTCATTGTCTTCGGTGCAGGCCAATGTCATGTTACTACCAACGTCCACGGCGACGTGCCGCATCGGCACCACAGCCACTGCTTCCTGCCATCCTGCAAGTTCGCGGATACTCGTTAACTGTTGTCTTGTACAGCTGTCAAACATAGTGATGATAATCACTAATAACCGCTTAGACCAGTTTCTACATAATGTCCATTTCTACTAATACAGATTAACTTTAATCCTAGTTTAACTTACTTTTTATCCTTTAATTCTAAGAATTGAAAAAAGATAAAGAGCAAGTTGAACCAAGACTAAAAGTTAATCTACATCGGTACATAAATGGACATGAGTTATCAATTGCTCAAAAGATCTGAATGAATAGATTGACAAACAAATTTATTACATCCAATAGAAAGGTTTGCTCTGTCAAGCACAGACGCGCAGCGCAACAAGTAGTCACCGTAGATGAATATGCAACACTACATAAAAATTATACAGATTATAGAGACCTAAGATCTCTTCGTTTTAATCGCATTTCATTTCCTTCGCCTCCCTTCATAAAATGTGAACGTTGAGTTCTTCTTTTCAGGACGAATTAATTAAGATGAACCTTTAGCCGTTGCGTCACGCAACAATTTGACGAGAATAAATTCTAAAAAAAAGACTATAAACCCGTTCTTTCACGCTGGAGAGAAAAAGAGAAAAGATGAACCGTCCGGGAAGTGGCAGGAACAGGAAGTTCAACTAAACAGACTTATAAAAAAATCAATGAGAGAGAAGAGGAAGCGGACACAACGACAACAATCGAGATCTCGACAGGTGGTTCCGCGGATCGCGTGCTCTGCCATTGCTCGCGCGGTGACAAGCGACGCGGACGGCGTGATATCCTCTTTACATAACTGACCCTGAATCGTAACGATCGTCCGCGCGTCGTGCTACGTGCTATAGCCGGCTGCGGATCGCATGATCGTCGGATATAGATCGCATTGTTCCATGACGGAAGCGTCTCTCTCTCTCTCTCTCGCTTCCTCCTTCCCTTCTTTTTTCTCTCTCGCTTCTCTGTCTCTCTTTCGCGCTTACTACTCGGCGACGTTCTTAACGTTCTTAACGTTCTTACCTGCCAGGAAGAGCATCAGCAACGGTAGCAATTTGCGTTCGTCCATTCTGCCATAATAATGCACCTGAATTCCTCGGCGAGATCCGTCTCGTTTCGTCACGGGGCTCTCCTCGACCGCATCCCTCTCGCTGTCATGACGGACAGTCGCTCTCGCGTGCGCTCTTCGTTTATTCGCAACAATCCCGAACAGTAGCGCAGTAGCGAGGGAGTAAAGGAGGATGAGGGAGAGGAGGAGGAGAAGGAGGAGGAGGCGCGTCACTCGGTGTCGATCGCCGCCGCCGCCGTCGCCGACGCCGTCAAATCCATCGTATACGTCGCTTCACGCCGACCATTCGTCACCAGCGATCGCTCTGACGCCCTCTCCGCGGAGCACCGCGCCCGTCCGGCGCGCCGCCCCATTTTATTGAGTCGCGCCGCCGCCCACGCCCCCTGGCGAGTCCTGCTTCACCCGGCGTCGATAAGAACGGGATCTCCTCTCCGTCGGTAATCCGTCGAGGGGCACTCACACTCTCCACGTGCGGAAATCGCAGTGATATGATGGCAATTCACTGGATTCACTCCGAAACTACAAACTCCGACTCGACACGAAGTGTTGTTGGTGTCTAACGTGATAATTATTGGGGAAGCCGAACATCTGGAAAACTGGGAAATTGAATTTTATAAAAATACAGGTAATATAGGATATGTATCGAGCGATACTCACTTCGTGGGTTTTTTTATTCCTCTAAAAAAATCGACTATTGCGTGTAATGTCATTTGATCGCATGATTTAGGTCCACGTCAGTCCATGAATTTAAGTGAATGTCGCGACGCAGTCTGCGAGATGAAAGGGAAGAAAACCCGTTATGAGAGCCCGTTGAAAGGATTCAAAAAAAGGTGATGATTGACAATTGGATTTTTATATCGAGAGACGCGGAGGACTGATGATTATTATTTAGTTTAGAGGAGCTTACGAGCATCGTAGGCGATATCGTGTGCCAGAAGAGGTTAGGTCATGGAACGGTGGAAAAGTTAAAGGAACAAAGTGCAACGGACAGCTCCAGCAAGGATTCCTCGTCGCAGAATAATGTAATTGTAATCAATGACAGTGACAGTGAAACATCTGAAGGGGACAATGACAACGAAACAAATGATAAAGATGCAGACACTTCGCTCAGTGTCATTGAATGCGTCTCCAAACCGTCCCCGTCTCCAAAAAGACGGCAAAGAAAACTGATAATCCATACCAGGCGGAAAAAGAGTAGACCGTCTATAATACCACTCGACACAATGGGTAACGATTCGTCTGTCCTTGATTTGTCAGTTTTGCAAGAATCATTAAACGAAGAAAATATAGGTGAGTTGACTCCGCTTGATTTTCTTTATAAGAAGAGATTTGGATAAGAAAATCTATTTGACTTATGTCCATTTCTATCAACGCAGGTTAATTTTGATCTTGGTTTAACCCTAGACAGACTCACTGGGGTAATACGTTACCCCACGCGAAATTCAAATTCGCATCATTTCAGCCAAATTTTTGGTTCTTCGTTTTGTTTTTCGAAATTTTTTTACTGTTTTTTTTTTACTACCGCAAATTGATGACTACTATCATCTTCCCTATTAAACAACAAACAAAATTATCTATTATAAAGTTTTCTAAGAACATTCTGGAAATATTATACACGCGGTACGAGTTTGGGGTAACGTATTACCCCAGTGAGTCATTCACGTATGAGAAAAATAAGTGAATCTGTCTAGGGTTAACTTACCTGTCATCTTTTCCTAGTTCTCTAAAAGTTAGAAAAAGATAAAAAGTAAGTTAAACCGAGATTAGAAGTTAATCTACATTGGTAGAAATGGGCATTAGACCCGGTTGCACCAACGTCGCATAACATTTGATCTTAGCTTAACTCACCCTTTGTCCCTTTCTAAGGGAATAATTAGAAACAGACAAAGAGTGAGTTAAGCTAAGGTTAAATATGCGACGTGCGTACAACCAAGCCTTAATACTGTTCTAAAATGGTACTATATCTCGTGATATCTAGCACCAACCCAAACGGAGGATGACGTGGTTGAATTGTGGTCGTGTCTGGAGAAACCAGTGAAAAAAATGAGGGTAAAAAGGAAGTCTAGTTGCGCCAGATGTAAGAAAGATCCATTGTTTATGATAGACAAAACACCGAATATGAAAAATCTCGAGTATTTAAAGACAAATACGCATACAAAAAAATATACCGAGAAAAGCAGGAAGAAACAAGATCTATCCTGGGATAAAACTACATCCGAATCGTTCATTCCGTTAACGGTCAAACCGTCAAACGTTAAGCTAGACACATTGAAATGTTCGAACAGCAATAAAAGAAAAAGGCAGCACGCCGATATTGTGGATCCGAGTCCCACAAAATCAAATGCACACCACAGCAAAAAGAAAATCTATTTGGGCGAAAAGAATTGGCGGCACGGTGATAATTTGGATTCAAGTTTTGCAAAGATGAATGCACACCAAAACAAAAGGAGAATTTATTGGGAAGAAAGGAATAGCCAAACGAAGTCAACGCGCAAATTAAGAGAGATAATTGTTGACGGTTGCAACGTGGCAATGGCGTATGATTTTTTTTTAATCATGCATATTATTGATGAATTTTCGTAAAGTGCAAAATATAGTTATAAAATTTATAAAGATTGCAATACACTTTGTGTATCTTATTTCAATTTGAGCAGCATATATCTTTATCTTTTAGCCATACAAACGGTAAAGAATTCTCAGAAAAGGGTATCCAAATAGTAGTAGATTTTTTTAAATTGAGGGGTCACAACGTGAAGGTTTTCTTACCACAACACGTCCGAAAAAAAGAACATACGTTTCTTGAGAAATTGTACAAAGAAGGCACGGTCGTGTTTACACCTAGCCGCCTCATTGATGGCATAAAAATTACATCGTACGATGATCGGTATACAATCGCCATATTTTTATTATACGTATAAATAGAAAAATAGAATAAGTATATTTTATTACATTCTTTACCTACAAAGTGAAAATTATTTCTATACAGTAAAATGTCTTATATTTTCTAACAATATATAATACTAGACGTTGTATATAAGTAAATTACGCGTTGTATATATAAACGTTTTTTTTTTTACAGAGGTATAAATTAATTATCAATCTCTCGATATTCGTACTTTACACAAAATAGCTTACTTTCGTATCAATCTGTTAATACTTTCTTGTTAATAGCAAAGCAATACACTAAGTTATGATAAACCTTTCTGTTCCTCTGCTTTTATTGTTTATTATTGTTTATGTGGAAATAATTAGAAACTTTCTATATATTAAAACATATGAGACGTATTAAAAATTTAGATCTCGACGCTTTCTCATTGGTTTTTTTTTCATTGCAGATATATTTTGAAATATGCGACGTCGTGTGGAGGAATAGTGATTTCCACAGATCAATATAGAGACCTGTACAGAGAGAAACCGGAATGGCGTAGTACAATTCTGAACCGTTTACTGATACCCACCTTTGTCGGAGATTATATAATGTTCCCGGAAGATCCGTTAGGCAGATTTGGGCCTAATCTCGAGACATTTTTACGGCATTGATAACGTTATTCTTATACATTATTCTTGTAAATTTGGATATCAAGCCTGATTGAATGTCTTGTTACCGAGAGACTGCATACCTTTCGTACCATATTTTTATTTCAGATCTTTCTATTCATTTTTCTTTTCTTTATATACGTCCAAGACGTGCCATTTCACGTTTTAACTCAAATAAAAAATAATTTACAATTAAATTTTTCTAAATATTAATTTTTTTTTTTAATAAAAGTGCATGTGCATTTTTGCATACTTGCATATTTGCATGTTTGCATACTTGTATATGCATTTTTATGAGAACTGAATTACAATAAATAAATAATAAAGAAAAAGAATGAACATGAATGATGGACTTGTTTTGTGTGAAATACGAAACGTGTACGAAATATTGTACAATTGATAATTTATATATTTTCTGTAATAAAATGCGTTTATATGTACAAGGAGTGTTGTTGTGACATTATAAAAAATATTCTTTTACTTAAAATCTTATCTGTTAGTAAGATTGCTGTGTAACAAACGTATGCGAGGTAAGTTGTTCAAAAAAATTTTTTAAATAAAAGATAAAAAATTAATTTTATTTCATATTTTGTATAGTTGCAATTTTTTCACAGCTCATCATTTGAGATATGGGAATGATATAATCCTACATTTATAAACTTTTTGTAGAAAAATAAATAAATATGCAAAATCGCTATAAACTGTATACTGTTTAGCCTACGCTGGTCTCCAACAATGTTTTCCCGATTGATGAATGAAGTCCATACTTTCTTGCGCCGATTCACGTGCGAAACGTTGCATTGCGTTCTCACTGCCACTATTATGACACGCATTCGATAACACTGCTTCGTGTTTGAAGGCTGAGCTAACAGCTGAAATAGTTTTACATATATTTTAATTCAATAAAAATACTTAATATATATTATAAGTATTTAGCTCATTATGAGTCAGTAATTGAGATACTTGGATATATACGTAAAATATATAATTATTAAATATAAACTGAATTTAAGTATAAAATTTGTTTTAGCGTAATATATCGATTTACTTGATTTGGCGAATAGCTTTCTCAAGACGTAGTCATCGTCTGCTGTCGAAACTGATTCTTCTTTTTCATCGGAACGTCCCAGGCGACGACCGATCAGACAAGAAACACGTTCTCCCTCAAAGATCGCGGAAACATTTGTCTTGCCCGAATGCGAGTCTCTTTTGTGCTTCTTGTGTTTACGAGTAGACGATGACTTGATTTTATCGTCATTTAAATTACTCTGCTTTTCTACAGAACTGTTATTTGGAGATCTCACTGGAATTACATCCTGTTCACAATTGTTTTTTTTTAATGTGTTTTCATTTTCTATATTGCTATTTCTTTCAATGGTTGCATCGGAATTCGTATTGAAATCTTCATTAGGTTTGCTCGGCGTTTTTTGTGTATTGTTCTGATCGGAAGATAAGCTTTGGTCCACAAGCGAATCATTTTCCACGGCGGGAGCTTCGTGAACGTGACTCGAATTATCGTTTTCTTCGTTGGACTTTCTTTCGCAAGTGCTGTTTGCATTTTCATTTTCATCGCGTTTCGATACATTGGCGCTTATTTTCTTGCTGAGAATCGACGCTAATTTTTTCATCTCCTCGATCTTACTGAGAGAAAAGCCACCGGACACAGGTGTATATTTAGATTCTCTAAATAAGCGATCCGATTCGGAAAACTCGCCGTCTATCGGCTCGTTTAGATTGAATAACTCCACCAGAT